AGCAGATGGGGCGTATACGCCGGGGAGGCAATTGCTGAGAATGAAATGCACACAGAGATAATTGTTAGCTGTGGTCCCACACGCCGGGGAGCGGGAGTGTAAACGACTGAGGCTCGCATACGTCACCGCTACTAGAACTGAGGCAGAATGAGTGACAAGCGATTTCAGTGGTAATTGGTAGTGAGTAGATAAGACGATGTGCCTAGAGTATCGTGAGGTGGTGCTATGGTCATGTTGCATTCTGCAAGAGTCATTCTAGGAAGTGGCGATTGTGTTGCAAGAGGATGCCTTTAACTGGAAGGCGCAGGTCGTCATCGATGTGTGAGATTGTGCTGTGGGTATGCTTGTGGTGTGTTGGGTTTTCTGTTTGTTTTCCATTTCAGCTCTGTCCGTGTGACCCAGGTTCTCGCAATGGCATCCAAGTCAACATGTATTGGTCGTGATGGAAAAAGGGGTTGGATCCCCTTTTCGGCGGGGAGTGTCAATGTAGTTGAAGATTGAACGATCAATTCATGGTTGTTTGCTCAAAACCAACTTCCCCAATTTTCGCGGAGGCATCAATACGACAGTCATCGTCTCATCGGTCGCTGTTCAGAAAGAAGAGTAAAACACCGTCAGAAGTAATATTAGGATTTATTATTATTGTAATATTTGTTCACAGACCCTAGTCATACGTGATTTATATGTTGGTGTTACAATAAAGAATCCTCGAGTCAACAATTGGTGTTTTGGTTTTTTCGTCCGTTATCACTAAGCGCTTCTGAGAAGCTTCGAGCAACAGCGTGAGTCCTAGCGTAGCAAGAGCTGGGCATTAATGGTTTATGAGACGTGGCTGACAGCCGCTGTTACTAAAGTTAACTTTGACGTACTTGTTAAATATTTAAGGTATTTCGAGTCGTCGTGACAGTTTTGAATTCCTAACATCCCGTGGGAAGTTAATGGAGTATTATTCCGATGGACCTATCAGGAATTCACTAACAAGAATTTGTTTTGCAACTTATGAGCAAATGGAATTGTATAAAGAGTTATCTGAGTTTGTTGGTATTGATTCCTCGTATAATACAAACAAAGGGAATTAAGTTTACCAATTCATTAATCAACGTGCAGGTATTCTTTGTTCCAGTTACTTGTGACGGATAATTTTGGTCGCGGACGAACAGTTTTATTTGCGTGGACTAGAAAAGAATTCAAACGTGATGTAATTTGGATATTAGACTGTTTTCATCGAATGATGGAAGATACCTCCAAAACAGAAACTTTCATTATGGATTGTGCGCAAGCTGAAATAGCAGCCGTCAAGTTTACGCACGGAGAAGCGCACATTGTTTTGTGTTCTTTCCATGTTTGCCGAGCATTTTGTCGTAAAGTAAGTTTTTCAAAGCATACTTTACATTTAATTCGTAGACAAGAAATCCCATGGTGAAGAACTACTTATACCGCCTAGTGCAGTGTAAAAAAAGATCAGAGTAATGCCTTTAATGTTCCCATTTTCCAGATTTAATTTCTATTTCAGAGTTATTAGCAGATTGGATGCTACTGTCAGTCAATATCTACAACGTCGTTGGATGCATCGACGAGAATTGTGGGCAGCATGTTTTAGAGACAACGTGATGACTTTTGGGAATGATACAAGTAATCGCGTCGAGAGCTCCCACAAGCAAATGAAACGGTACTTGCAAAGATCAGATAGTCTGCATAAAAGTATGCTGAAGGTGTTTAAATGGTATCAACAAAGTTTTTCAAGAATACAGCAGGAGGCGATTATTGCTCAGTCGCGATGCTTCACCTATCCCTGTTCACAACGTCTAATCCCAATTATACGATTGCTGACGCCATACGCCGCGAGGAAGGTAATACGTGAATACGAAAGGCGACGATGGGCTATTGTTGAGTTTGAATCCTTTGATTATGTATTCTTCAAAGAAAATGGGAATAGAGTGGAGGTTGATCTGAGTGCTTGCACCTGCACGTGCTTTACATTTCAGACCTGTCGGTACCCTTGCCGACACTTGCTTTTGGTCCATTTCAGAAAGCCGTATTTCACAGGTATATTTGAGTTTTTATGACTCCGTTTGTAATTTATGTCGACCGAAATTTAATTAATTAAGGTTCTTATATACGGAAAGTTGTAATTTTCATTACCCTATTCGTGTGTACATTGCCTTAATTGGAAACAGGACACAAGCACTACCATCATTGCACATGTAATATTCAGTTCATAGTTATCTTTACGTTTTTTTGTTTCACCTTTTGTAGTTAACCATGTGATGCAGAATTGTAAACAATGGACGTGGTCACGCAACTTGTTCGCATCTCAATGCACGTCAGCAGTTGTCCCTCGAAATCGAAGTGCCCCATTGGAAACCTATATAAGTATTATGAATGCGGGCATTAGGAAAATTAATGACAAATTTGGAGAAGTGTTTGCCAGGAATTATTCAGTAGAAGTAATCGCAGGAATCAATCGTACTCTGAATATGTAAATAAACTGAATTTGTATCATAATTAAAATACAATTTTTATGTCGATCTTGTTGTCATTTGAATCATGTGTTCCCTTATTGAGCACGGCATGCTAGACCGGTGCTCTCTAGGACTTTAACTATATGTAAGTGTAATTGTGTAGGAATGATGTCGGTCGTCATACGTGTTAAATTATAATTATTTTAGTGAAGTTACGTGCATACGTCTCATAGTCATATAGAAGTCTTTAGGGACAAATGGCAATAGTAGGCATAACTTAGGCACTGCGTTCGAGTTCCAGTTCTTATACGGTTACGTGTTTTCTAAAGTATTGCATTACTAATGTTTCACTTAAAGCGTGATGTCAATCCATATGACTAAGGCTGTTAACATGTAGCGTAAATTTAAGTCTACACGAGACAAACTATTGAATTCGTTCAGCTTTAGCACTCGTAGTTACATTTACCTTACACTAATATATGCCACCAATTACTTCGTCAGGTCTCATTAATAAGTCGTGCCTGCATCTAGTCATCATGACAAATATATCTACACTCAGATAGAATAAAAAAGGTCTGGTAAGCAGGATGTTAAATATATTTAATCAAAAATAATAACAAGCAAATGTCTTTACGCAGTTGTTCGTCGTAATAATTTGGGCAATGTCGAATCACTGTGACCGGGTTGACTGACGTTACCGGATATCTGCAAATAAGTAAACAAAGTGTTTTTTAAATCGCTGAAGTAAGAAAGAAGTAATATTAAAGTTAAACGCTTTATATTCGCCTACCTTTGCTGAAAATGGTTCATTCTCCCTCCTCATTCTTCGTTCATGACAGCATTCATCTGTGGTTTTTACTGTCACACATATTGTTCATCTTCTAAAGGATAGCAGGAAGCAAATAATAATAATTAGAACCCTTCACAATGAACACTTTACATTTGGCTAAGTGCTATTTCCTTGGAATGTTAGTATACATTTGCAATGTTTAATGCAAACCATGTATGCATAGAAAATATGACGTTTTCCATGAAAATACAGCTCTGTTCAAACACTGGTGCTGATGTGTTTCTGATAAAAGCAACTAGGCTGTAAGCAAGCAACTAATAGGCACAAAGAGTAAGTCTCAGCTTTAATAAAGGCATATCCAGTTAAGATAAAATGTAATGTAATATTGCACAAATGAAAAGATCATCGTGAAGTAGATAAGTGATATTTCATTGACAGATAAATTGAAATATCTGCAATCTTACAATTCCTAAGACAACCTGACATGTAAGATCTCTCACAAATTTCTGTGGGGCCTGTGGGGTACCATGGATGGTCTGCCGTCAATCTGAGCTTTTGAAGGATGATTTACAAATGCAAAAGGTAATAATCATCGAAACTGAGGTGGTATTTTCTAGCTCTTCGGCATTTTTTCCTTTGATGCAGTTTCTTATCAACAGTTTTCAGTATTCATAGTGACTTCATAGGAACCTTCATTGTATCATGACTTTCACCAAATATCCCTTAACTCACAGAAGCAGGCAACAACCCCATACACTCAAGCATTGTTACCAGAACATCACAAAATGCTTACAGATAACTTGTTTTGTAATAACTGCTTTAAATATATGAGCCATAAGTGCATCTTCTATATCTTTCATAGCTACAATTAAGTCATTAAGGATCTCAGAATATCTTAGTGATCTAAAACAAAATAATTATTAAGATTGATATGACCTATGTAACAGATGTAGTACTTGTATGACACAGCTGCTAGCTACTAATCAACAGAAAGCTGATACTCATTTTAAGTACTCTGATATTAAGTTCTCTGCCATTGCCTGTAGTATATTTACAACCTTAAGATCTGAAACAACTCGCGAAAAACAAACCCTCAACGCACTATAATGCAAATAATAGTCTTTCTATGCGAACTTCCTTAAAAAGGATGACTTCTTTATTGATAATCCGTCCGAGCTATAAGATACAATTTTACGCTCTACTACGAACAAAATACAGCAAAATACTGCCGTCTGGCTACAGAAGTCGAAAACTAGTCATATATAATCTATTTCCCCAAAAATAGGCGATTATAACACCTGTAGCCGTGAACGCGGTAACCGATGAAATTGCGCGTTAACACCTGGTTATAACCTATATCCTCACACCATACTACAAACAACATAGAATAATCCTGGCGCTACTCCTTCAGGAGGCAACCAAAGCTACGACAGTCGAGACGGGACGAGCTACGCAGAAGTTTATTCGAAGATCAGGAACCTATACCTCGCAATCAAGAGGCGAGCATAAAGAAATCAAGTTGGTTTTTACTAGCTCGTAAAAAAGATACTGGATATTGAATGTTGGAAACTTACCTTTTAAGGGCAGGCGTTTTGAATGCTGGTCTACTTTGACAAAAGGCAGCAGCAGCAGTCTAGAGATCTACCTAGTGCTCTTTTTTACCGCCAAAAAGCTGACAATGAATTCTTTTGGTGCGATATAAGTTTTTGTGAGACCGAAACTAGCTTTCTGAAGAAATAATAGATCACATGTCTACTGAAGGAGTAGATCTAGGTTGGATTGCTGCATTTCTCAGAGAATTGTCTGAAGATATTGATGCTGAAGTGGTTGGTGAATATATATCTGGGTTGCTAACTGTATCTCACGATCAGTCAGGAACATTGTCTGAGGAAATTCAAGAGTTACTCTCTGCATACCTTGTGAGTTTAACAAAATTTTCTCGTTATTTTAGGAGTTAAGTATTTCTTGAAGAATCCTATCACGGGCATTTGCAATCAGTCATTTGGATTATCCTTTACGTTCCGTTGTCGTAGGGCTAAACTGGGCTTGAAATGTTCAGGCATACAGTGTATCAGAATATCCGGGTCCTGTTAAATGCTTGTTTAAGCCGACATTTAACAGGGTAGAGATTTCCCTACCCACTAATTAGCAACTGCAATAAAACTTCAAAATGTATGACAGCAATCTTGTGGGTGAACTCCCCAAAGGGACGAAGACAGTGATCTACTGAAGGCCGCAGTTGTTGCTTGCACAATATAAGCTGAAGGGATTTCGAAATACTACTCGAGTAGACGGCGTTAGCGGATGTCTCATTATGGACCGTAGTGTAGCTATTATTCATATTTTGTGAAAAAATAAGGGCGATTGACGGCTGTGGAAATGTATTCCAGAATTTGTAAACTTCGTTTCCTCTCGTTTTACTGTATCCTTGGAATCTTTCAGCAGTGCGAATTTAAATAAACAAATTGTTTGTCTCCTCTAAGCCTTCTCAAGTAGTTTATTTTGAAGTGATTGAGTACATCAGTTTGTTTTATAGTATGTTAGTGGAGCTGCGTATGTTTCTGTTTATCGAGGTGATTCACTTTAATTTCTTGGGTCGAGTTCGTTCATTAGTTTTAGTTACTTTATGTTGTGAGTTCATGCAAAAGCATCGAACAAAAATCATGTAGTCACTTAAATGGTCTAAAGCACCACAACATAATCACAAAATGGTTGAGATTTGCCCGAAAAATGAGATGTTTTAGATATTGATAAGCTTGTTATAATTTAAAAACGGAGTGCATTTATTCCATTGATGGATGTTCAGTGGATTCCTTAAATCTCTTTTGTCATTTTTTAATCAAAAACCTTTCCAGTCGCAAACTAGATGAATCGGTAGGTTTTTTCATGTAGTCACTTAACGGTACACGGGGTATGTATGTGTAACACTCTAACCACCCGAAAAGATGGGAGCAAGGCAAATAAAGGATAAATAATATTATTTTTTATTTTCTATGGCAGCTCACAACCTTTTATGTATGCTTCAAGGTGAAATCATCATGTTGTAGGGAGCTAGCTAGTTGGAAATCTCGAACACATCCTTCCGCAAAATCGTCGAGACTTTTTGTTTTTCATCTTGTCATCGGAAAACTTTGTACATGTGTACATCAGTTAAAAATGCCGTATGCAAGAGAGGAACAAAGGAATGCAAAGATCTTGTATGGGATAGAAGTGTTCTAAGGAAAGAACAGCTTAAATAAGTTGTAAAATATTCAGAATCCCGATGATAAGGTGCAAATCGATCTGCTTCATCGTGAATGATTTCGAACTTTTACACCAAGAGTTTATTGTCAATACCTGTTACACTTTTGTCGTCACATCTAACTTTGGTTGTCACATTAGTTCTCGAAGTAGTTATCCTTTTAAACACCGTCTTACAATGGATGACAGACCCTTTATAACTGGGATTGACGGATTCAGAGTTTTGTATTTCTGAAACTTGCATTATATCCAGTTGTGGCTAATTAAAAACTTCATTCTCTCTCTGTTGAACTGAAAGGCTCAGTCCTGTAAATACTTTGAGTTTGGGTGGTGAATGCTCTTGTGATACATGTTATAGATGGCATGAAATCCTACATTTTAATTTCGTTTGATAGTTTGTTTTGATTATGTGGAATTTTGTAGCCATCTTTAAAGGAAATGTAGGTGAAAAGTAACACAGTTTAGGTCAGAAAACGCCATACTGGTGTGGACGCATTTAGACCGTTTCTGTATTAAAATCGTTGTCATATTCTGTTAATATTTCCTCATAATGACTACTTTCCACTCTTGATAACGTTCTGACCTATCTCATCTGCGACACATGTTTGAATTTCGCCAGCTTTGACCATTGGATAGTAACCCCAGACACTGTATGTTTGCTTTTCATATTTGCCTTTATGCTTCACAGTTAACATACATTGATACCTTGATAAAATAATTTGATTAAGTCCATCAACCGCTTCAGTGGTAGCGATCCGGTCGCTAATGAAATCTTGACATTGGCATCTAAGTTTATTGAACCATAGCTTACATCTGTGTTAGTCAGTGACAGGGCTTGTGGTGTGTTATACATTATGTGCCATTTACCTTCCTGACATGTCGTGTCAAGTGAGTTAGAATCAGGAGAACAAACATATCACAGGTGCACAAACATAGTTGTTTCATCACTTTATATAGTAACTGTTAGAGTTTACTTACATCGGTCAGTGGTGGCCAAACAAAAACATGGCCTCATCAATCCATGAAATCCTTGACAGTTAAACTGAGTCAGGTAGGGAGATGCAGACTCCCGGGTTGGGGACCTCGGGACTGACTCTAGGAATCAATGGCTGGAGACAATAGGTGACATGGCTCAAAATCGTTGTCAATGGCCAGCGCAGATGTATTCAGTCTCTGTAATCTTTCATATTCCTTTCTACCATTACCCATTCTGTTTCACTCTTATACTTGTCAAACTCTATTGATTCTCTTCACTCATCTTCTTGCCTACCTCTGTGTGCTATTTGGAACGTGGCAACTCGAACTGGTGCACTTCGGTGCCAAGTTCTATGTTGAATCCAGGCAGACAGACGGACAAAGTTTTAATTTATGACGCCTACCTTAAAAGCCACCATTCCCCTATGCAATTTACATTAGTAGTTGATTTTAAACCTAAACATCTAAAAAGAGTAGATTGCAAGTACAACTTTGTCTTTTAATAATTTTTGCCACTATGAGTGAAATAAAGATAATTATTGGCTTCAGTAATAAGCTGTTAACCAATGGGTCCTCAGTTCTTTTCGTGCTCCAACTATTTCCGTCTGTGACTCATTGGGTATTGTATAGGTAGTGAGTTTGGCTTATTGCTTAATATATGAGAAGTTTTACGTCGGGTAGCTGAAGTGACTGAGTGACATGGAAAGTTTCACATTTTATACTTTATGATTAAGCGGTTAATTTGTATTTTTCTAACGTTGGATTTTTCGCTAAATCTTTTAGTCTCCTGAAAAGTCAAAGAATGCAGCCGATGAAATTGTATCCAGATATGGTAAGTCTGGTTTCCTGATATTCATGAATTCAGTTCTATTTTTGTGCTTCATTAGACTGGATATCTGTCTGTCTGTCTGGATTCAACATAGAACTTGGCACCGAAGTGCACCAGTTCGAGTTGCCACGTTCCAAATAGCACACAGAGGTAGGCAAGAAGATGAGTGAAGAGAATCAATAGAGTTTGACAAGTATAAGAGTGAAACAGAATGGGTAATGGTAGAAAGGAATATGAAAGATTACAGAGACTGAATACATCTGCGCTGGCCATTGACAACGATTTTGAGCCATGTCACCTATTGTCTCCAGCCATTGATTCCTAGAGTCAGTCCCGAGGGCCCTAACCCGGAAGTCTGCATCTCCCTACCTGACTCAGTTTAACTGTCAAGGATTTCATGGATTGATGAGGCCATGTTTTTGTTTGGCCACCACTGGCTCTTTTCCAACCTGCACCTATATCAGCTAGCAATGCCCGTCGGGGGAGGCGGTGGTTAGGCATGCGCAGCACGTGACCTAGCCATCTCAATCTGTGTAACTTTATAGCCTCGTCGATTGATTTTCCCTCTTTACCCAACACTCTACGCCTAACATCAACATTACTTATCTTGTGAAACCACCTAACGTGAGACAGAGATCGCAGACATCTATGATCGAAAGCAGTCAACCTTTTCATGTCTTCAACGCGTATTGGCCATGTTTCAGAGCCATAGAGAAGGACGGAGCGAACTGATGAGCATTACACACGTCTCTTGGTTGATAACCGGATGTCACGCCTACGCCAGAGATGGTGTAAGTCAGCGAAAGCAGCTCGAGCTTTTCGGATCCGTGATGAGATTTCATCGCCAATCAGTCCGTTGGTGCTAATACAACTTCCCAAATAGGTGAAGTGGTCAACATGTTCTATCACTTCACTCCCTATCACTAAGTTAGGAGTTGACGTGGTCCAGTCCTGTAGCAGCATCTTACATTTTGCAGGGGCGAATCGCATGCCAAACATACGGAGAGTCCGACAGGAATCCAAGTGTCTCTCTACAACAGTATTAACGAATTGATTTAGCAACACCTTGCTCTCCCCACTGACAGCTTTTAGTGTCCTAAGCAGTAACACAAAGTCTTTCTTTAGTAGCCCAGGAAGGATTAAGGTGTGTGTGTGGGAGACAATAAAATAGCATAGGCAGAATACAGCAATTAACAAACGGTAACAACAGAGACGGAGCGATAACAGATCGTCTCAACTTCCTTACATAGAAAGTTGCACGAAATATCTTTCTGGAAACTAACATGATGTGGAAAGACCATGAGAGATGATCAGAGGAAATACACAGTTCAAGGTATTTAACACATTCGATTTGGTTTCAACTTCAGTGCCATTTATGATAGTGGAACTGTGCGAATTAACCAGTTGATGTAAGTCGTACTTGCGTCTGAAAGTGAAGTTAACAATCTGACGCTTGACGTGATTTAGCATGAGATCATTTGTTGGCCTCGTCAGAATCGGGCAAGTTATATAAGAACAAAGAATACAGAAAACGAAAAGGAACAACTCCTTGAGGAACATCAGCTAGAGTAAGTGAAGCAGTGGAGGACTTCCCACCGTAAACAGTGTACTGCCTTCCATCAGAAAAATAGGAATCCAACCATCTGGTAGCCCAGAAGCTTGCTTGTGTCGCATTAAGCTTGTTTAACAGAATAGGCCTAGATACAGAGTCAGAGGCAGATAGGTGTGTAATCAGTAAAGGTATACCGAAAATATTTGGCACCTCTATTTAAACTAGAGACAATATTATGATATAAGACAACAGTGGCATTTAAATAAAGTTCACCTACCATGTTTATAAGCAAATTGATTAGGGTCGTCAAAAGCCGTCAATGAAGGTTCAAGGTTGATTAAACATATATATTCACCTTTAGTTCTTAGCATCGGAAAGGCTGTAGCAAGCCAATGGACACTGCTTAAAGATATTTAGCATGATTACGTTTCTATTTCTTTATTTTGTGTGCTTTCTGGCTATTCAACCTTCAGTATGGAGAGAAGACTCCGGTTAATAAAAGTCTTCAATAGGCTGTTGGAAATGCTTTTGGTGACGTGCGCGCACCAAGTGTCTTACCCATATAGAAAAATTGACGTAACATTAGTTTTGGAAATTTGAATTTCGACTTGTATACTGGGTGCAGAAGATTTTCAATCTGATTCCCGAGTGATAAAGGTCTGCTATGCCTTCTCAGTCCTACCTCTTAACATTCTGAGTCGTGACGAATCTAGTTGAAACGATGCTGCCCAGATAAGTGAAAGAAGTGATCTTGATCAAATTTCTCCCATCAGTAGTGATTGGTGCTTATTCTTCTTAGTTGCTCTTTAATTCATCACATCTGTCCTCTCTGCATTCACCTGAATGAATTGCTGTCTTCTCTGCCAGCCTCTTCTACCACCAACTTGTTGGTTTTTGCGTGTAAATCTTCGAGTTTGTATGACACTAAGGTGTAATATTGTTCTACAAAGTCCAGATCTATCTAGAGTCTTCTCATTAGCGAAACGTATTCCTGTCTTCTTGTTCCCCACTGTGTGTGTGTGTGTTGTATGACCCAGTCCATTACGATCAGGAATATCGTCGGTATCAGATCGTTGAAGGTAGTTGGCAGGAAGCCTTCGACCTAGGTTTCGTGCTGGTTGACACTTAACAGTCAGCAAGGCGTATCTACAACCTTGAAGGAACTCATGTCCTTCTGATATTCGAACCAGCGTCTCCCAGTGCTGCAGTGAGTCAGAAACGATACCACTGAGCTAGCTATTCGGGCTCGCGATTGACCTTATGTAAGACTGTAGTGGATACTTTGATTGGATTGATAGAATTCAGTCTGCACAAAGAAGGGACTAGACACGTCACACTAGATACTAGTGTCCAATCAAAATACCCACCACAGTCCTACAGAACGTCAATCGCGAGCCTGAATAGCTCAGTAGTAACGTCTCTGACTCACTGCAGCACTGGGTGACGCGGGTTCGATTCTCAGAATGAGTTCCTTCTAGGTGGTTGCAGATACACCTGCCTTGCTGACTGACTGGTGAGTCACAACTAGCACGAAAATTAGGTCAGGTTAGGCTTCCTATGGTCGATTGCCTCCAACTATCTAATATTATCAAATTAATGTGCACTGTGATGGCGAGCTACCTAGAAGAATGGTGGTCACATTGCAAACTTGAGTGATAGAATTCAGTCTGCACCAACCAAACAAAAGACCAGAGACATTACACGAGTTACTGACTAGTGTTCACTCAAAATATCATCCTTAATTAGTAGGCAGGCGTTGATTAGAGGGTGTAAATTGTGACCTGTCAATGTCTCAGCTGTTGTAAGTAACTATAACATTTGACTGTTTTAATTATAATTATTTTTTTCTTAAAATAATTTTTTTTAATATTTTAAGCTAGACTAATATCAGCAGTAGAGAATACTGTCACATGTACAGATGAAATTAAGTCTGTTGAAGATCAAATGAGAAATCTAATGAAAGCTGATTGTACACGTGTCATGGAATCGCCAACAATAAAAACTGCCCCTCTGATCGAGATCCCTGTACTATAGAAGTTTTACGTTCAGCTGGTGTAGTCACCTATCAAAAAGATTCCGAAGAAGAAGAAGAGTTGAAAATTGCAATGGCTGATTCAGAATTTCTTACTAAACAACGTCTTAATTTGCTCACTACTTCTACTACTAATACTACTACTACTACGACGACTGGTATTACTGGTGCTGGTGTTGGTGTTGTTGGTGGTATACCTGGTCCAAGTGTGAATGGCCTAGTCGATGTTGTCAGTGATGATGAATCTGAGACAGACTTATTAGAGGATATTGAAAATATTTGCCAGTATGGAAAAAAGTAAGATAACTAAGGATAGATTTTATCTTTATCTTTAAATATTCCCATTATTAATAATATTAGAACAAGACATATAAGTGAACAATATTGTTGTTTTCAATCAGATCTTCTTCAGGCTTTACTCTAATTTACACAGATTTATATATAACAAGTTTAAGCAATGACGGTGATTTTGTGGATCAAATAATATTCAAGTACTGGTTTTGTAGGGATTTTTGTTTGATTGTATGGAGGATTTCACCATGAGCTGACACCAGTTAGAAAACCACTGGAAAACCTGGGCGTACTGGACAGCTGTTTCATCCTAGTTTGGGACTCTTCAACAGTACGCACCCGACCGAAAGCTGTTACCTTCACGTGGTGGTCGGGCTTGAACACCGCAATGACCTAATCAAGCTATACTGGCTGAGACTTATGTCTCTTGAGGTTCTACCATGCCAGGCAGGTTGTTTGGATAGCGGTTAAACAAAAAGCAGCTACCCCATCCAATACCATGATCCAAACAAATTCACAAAATTTCATGCCGGATCGGCCGTGGCCCGGATTAACAACGACCGCGCTTCCTGCTGCCGTGTCACAGGGTAGGAGTGATAAGTATGCTACTGAGGCACACCAAACAAAAGAGAACAAACAAAAACAGGCCGCGTGTGACCGGCCTCAAGCAGTTGTCCCCTGGGCTCTGCGGTCACGCAACCAACTTCCACGGTGTGGGCAGCCGGGAAGTAACAATCGCCCTCACAATCCGAAATGCACACAAAACCTCTCTAATCCTCACTTATCTTTGTCTTCATCTTCATCTCTATTACCTTGCCTTCCTCCCACTGATGCAACTCCTCTACTTGATGGCTCCTCACTCCCTCTTCACTCTGTGTCCACTAAAAACGACGAAAGCCAAAAAACCACCACCGATAGTCTCCTAAAGCCACGCCACCAATTTCATATAGGAGCATTTAATGTTAGGACACTTTGCCAAATAGGACAACAAGCATCACTAGCTAAGACCCTGGCATCTCGAGCCATTGATGTATGTTGTGTTTCAGAAACACGCATACAAGACCCAAGTGTGGTTATTCACCTAACCCCACCTGGCCAACAGGATGAATCTTCAAAATTCACCTTGAGGGTGTCAGGAGATGCCACAGCTAGTTCACGAGGATTAGCTGGCGTAGGGATAGCTTTGAGTACTAGGGCAGAAAAGACATTGCTTGACTGGATCCCAGTAGATAGCCGAATGTGTGCTGTCCGTCTGAACGGATCAGTAAGAAGGAGAAAGGACTGCACTACTCGCCGATGCCTTTTCGTAATCTCCGCCTACGCCCCCACTGACTGCAGTTCGGATGAAACGAAGGATGAGTTCTACCAAAAGCTGTCTAGTTTGGTGAGAAAGGCTAAACGCTCAGATATAGTCGTTCTAGCTGGTGACTTTAACGCTCAAGTAGGGAAATTGTGTCAATCTGAGAAGGATGTCGGTGGCACCTATGGAGTTCCGTGCCAGCGAACCGACAACGGTGACCGTCTCCTACAGTTCTGTTCAGATAATCATTTGTTTCTTGTAAGCACTAACTTTAAACACAAGGAGAGACACTGTTTAACCTGGCGACCCCCATCATCAAACCAACGCTGGACACAAATAGACCACATAGCAATAAGCTATCGTTGGCGTGGGTCGGTAGGAGATTGTCGCTCCTTCTGGAACACGTGTGTAGATACCGATCACGCACTGGTCCGGGCTCGTGTGTGCTTACGACTGAACGGACGTAGGAAACAGCTGGCGGTAAAACCATCACGTCCCCAGCTCGATCAGGAAACTAAATCCCTATTTGAGGAAGAACTAGCTAAACGCATATCTGAGTTCGACAGCTGTGCTCACCCTGGAGAAGCCTGGAAGAATATTCAGTCAGCTATAGATACAGCTGTAAAAGCTGTGAATAAGGCAAATCCAAAGGTGAGTAAAAACCACTGGATTTCGACTGCCTCATCCGAACTGATAGATGCTAGAAGACTTATTCCGGCGAGCTCCGAATTCAATGAGGAGCGAAAGCTGCACAAAAGGAAACTTACTAAAAGTCTCCGCAAGGACCGTGAACAGTGGTGGGTGACAAAGGCAAAAGAGATGGAAAAAGCATCGGCGATAGGCAACACTAGGCAACTCTTTAGACTCATCAGGGAAACGGGTGGGAGAAGGCAATTCATAAGTGAGACTATTTCTGAGAAAAATGGCTCCTTAATTAGCTCTCAGGATAGACGCCTTGAACGCTGGAAAGAACACTTTGAGGAACAATTTAACTTGCCTACAGCCACACTGAACCTCCCCGACATCCAGCACACCCGAATGGGATATAGACACTGGTCCGCCGTCTGTAAGTGAGGTCACAAAAGCTATCAGTAATTTGAAACGAGGCAAAGCGGCAGGACCCGACGGAATTATTCCGGAGGTGTTTAAATATGGGGGTGACATACTAGTTTGTAGATTAACTGAGGTACTAGGCAAAGTCTGGGAATCAGAGACAGTGCCATCAGACTGGGGTAAGTCACTTATTATACCGATATTCAAGAAGGGAAACAAGTCCTCGTGTGATAATCATAGGGGGATCAGCCTAACGAACATAGTCTCTAAAATCCTAGGCTCAGTAATCATGCATAGACTAAGCAGAACTCGGGAGGAACAGACAAGGGAAAATCAAGCAGGCTTTAGACCAGGTAGAGGGTGCATAGATCATATCTTCACTCTTCGACAGATTCTAGAACATAGACACACTTTTCGGCGTCCAACAATTGTCATATTTCTTGACTTGAAGGCGGCCTTCGACTCCGTGGATCGAAAGGTACTATGGCAATGTCTGACTGTGAAGGGAGTGCCAAGAAAGTACATTGCACTAATCAAGGCACTCTATTCAAACTCACGTAGTCGTGTAAGGGCTTATGGGGAATTGTCATCTGAATTGGTAACAACCAGTGGTGTCCGACAGGGATGTCCACTTTCCCCATTTCTGTTTAACTTCATCATAGATATGCTAATGGAAGTATCCTTAACTGAACGTAGTGACTTAGGAATCGACTTGTTACCAGGGAATAATCTAATGGACTTAGAATATGCAGATGACATAGTCCTGTTAGGGGAGGATGCTGACAAAATGCAGAGTCTTCTGAACACCTTGAGCAGCAATCTTCGTATGTTTGGCATGCGATTCGCCCCTGCAAAATGTAAGATGCTGCTACAGGACTGGACCACTTCACCTACTTGGGAAGTTGTATTAGCACCAACGGACTGATTGGCGATGAAATCTCATCACGGATCCGAAAAGCTCGAGCTGCTTTCGCTGACTTACACCATCTCTGGCGTAGGCGTGACATCCGGTTATCAACCAAGAGACGTGTGTAATGCTCATCAGTTCGCTCCGTCCTTCTCTATGGCTCTGAAACATGGCCAATACGCGTTGAAGACATGAAAAGGTTGACTGCTTTCGATCATAGATGTCTGCGATCTCTGTCTCACGTTAGGTGGTTTCACAAGATAAGTAATGTTGATGTTAGGCGTAGAGTGTTGGGTAAAGAGGGAAAATCAATCGACGAGGCTATAAAGTTACATAGACTAAGATGGCTAGGTCACGTGCTGCGCATGCCTAACCACCGCCTCCCCCGACGGGCATTGTTAGCTGATATAGGTGCAGGTTGGAAAAGAGCCAGTGGTGGCCAAACAAAAACATGGCCTCATCAATCCATGAAATCCTTGACAGTTAAACTGAGTCAGGTAGGGAGATGCAGACTTCCGGGTTGGGGACCTCGGGACTCTAGGAATCAATGGCTGGAGACAATAGGTGACATGGCTCAAAATCGTTGTCAATGGCCAGCGCAGATGTATTCAGTCTCTGTAATCTTTCATATTCCTTTCTACCATTACCCATTCTGTTTCACTCTTATACTTGTCAGACTGTATTGATTCTCTTCACTCATCTTCTTGCCTACCTCTGTGTGCTATTTGGAACGTGGCAACTCGAACTGGTGCACTTCGGTGCCAAGTTCTATGTTGAATCCAGACAGACAGACGCACCCACATTGCGAAATGGTCGCGCTATGTTGTGAACTGGCAGAAGTTTAAATTCAAGAACCATTGGATCGAGTCCCAGTGGCTCAATGGTCTACGAGCTCGCCTTATAACCACAAGGTCCTGGGTTCGAACCCCGATGGGTGCGTACTACTGAAGATTCCCAAACTAGGACGAAAAAGCTGTCTAGTACTCCTAGGTTTTCCAGTGGTTCTCTAACTGATGTCAGCTGATGGTGAAATCCTCCATACGATCAAATAATAATAATGACAATAACAATGATAATGATAATACATCTGTAGGACTGTTAATCGCGATAGATAGACAGACTATTATGATAGACAGCTAATCAATATGATGTGACGTTCTTGTCGCGATTATTGTTCAATTTGATGTAACTCACACCACGTGATGTCACCTTGAGTGCTCTTTGTTTTCTGTCACTCTATTTGCGTGTACATGTAATTAATTAACTGTTCATTTTGTCCGTTCCCTCAATACTGTTCGGTACGTTTTTGCCCTTTCTTGAGTTACAATGGGTTTTATATTTTTCTTGGTGTAATTGTATGATTTGTTTCATGTTTTAGAAACAGATATAGTTTAACTATAGTTAAGCCAAGACTCTGTGTCGTCAGTACTGAGGAAGGACTAAATCTGTAGGCAAAATTAATCCTACAAGGACAATATACACATTTCTTCAGTTTTGTACCAATCCGATACAAAATCAATTTGGTCAGATGCTTCACGAATAGAACAAGACGTTATCTGTACAAATGACTCCCTAGAAAATGAGTTAGGATACATCTAAAATACGCTGATCCAAATGGGTTATCCTAGTAGATTTGTAAGGAGACAGACACATAAACACGAGGTGCAATAAAAAGTAACTGACAACAGTTAAAAAGAAACAACTGTTCATGAAATTGCAATTTAATGATGATGTGGCTAGTGAAGTCTTACATCTGAGATTATCGAGAGCAATAAAACGGACTTATATTGCTGCCCCACTTTGTTTGTCATTTTCCAGCTGCCGACCAATTAGAATTGCTCAAGCGAAAAACAAACTACCTAGCTGTGCCACTTCTATGTGTATCTATAAATTTAGTTGCTCCAGTGGAGAAAGCTATATAGGGCCGAACAACTAGATGATTGCTTAACAAACGCATCAATGATCATCTTCCTTCATGGTTCAGAAAAGGTCAAATAAAATTCATCCAAAGTTCTATTTCGGCTCATTTGATTGATAGCGGTCACCGAGTGGACAAAAATAGTGCCTTCAAAGTTATCTATCGCATTCCATCGAGTCTTTCGAACGGAATCAGAACCTGTCTTTTACACTTAGCCGAAGCTATGGGAATTCAAGAGGACAATCCTAATCTTTGCATACAACAAAAGAAGTTTGTTCTACCTTTGTCTCTCCGTTGGCCTAGGTGAATTCTAATCGAAATCCTCCCACCCTTCTTATTTTCCATTGCCTTCGTACTAATATGATATTTATCTGTCCACTTCACCTTTAGTATTACGCAACTCTTAAGATTTGACCTAATTTATTTCATTATTGAATTGTCTACATATAAACATATTACTACCTTTGTTATTCTTCTTATCGCCATCTGCAAAACCTTACTATCAATATTTTGTTATCATTATAATCATCGTTATTAATGACGTTCAAAACACTTACCACATTATTATTATTACTATTATTTGATCCACAAAATCACCGTCATTGCTTAAAATTGTTATATATAAATCTGTGTAAATTAGAGTAAAGCTTGTAGGAGATCTAATTGAAAACAATATTGTTCGCCTATATGCCTTGTTCAAGTATTATTTCTAAATTCCCATTTCACCATTTGCAGTCACACTCAACTTACCCAGCATCGAACACCTCCCTGAATGGAATATAAACACAGGTCCTCCGTCCATGATTGAGGTTACAAAAGCTGTCACTAGTCCGAAACGATGGGAAGCAGTGGGACCTGATGGAATGACTCGAGAAGTGTTTAAGGACGGTGGAGACAGTTTACTATCTGTGTTTACTAAGGTATTAGCCAGCATCTGGGAATCAGAGATAGTCTCGTCGAACTGGTGTGTGTTAGTCATTGCTTAACTCTGTATATAAGAAGGGAGACAAGTCTTCCTGTGATAACCACTGGGAGATTAGCTTGATCAATATAGAGTATAAAGGCTCAATAATCATTCGTAGACTAAGTGTTGCTCGGGAGGAACAAACATGAGACAACTAAGCAGACTTTAGACCAGAGAAAGGGTGTGTTGATCATATCTTCACCCTTCGACAGATTTTTGAACACAGATATATTTACAGGAGTCCAACAATCGTTATATTTCTTGACCTGAAGGCGGCGTTTGATTCTGTCGACCGAGAGATACTATGACGATGCTTGGCTGTGAAGAGAATGCTGAGAAATACATCGTACCGGTCGATCAAGCAACTCTACTGGAACCCATGCAGCCAGCCATGTGAGAGCTTAGGGAGATTTGTCATGTGAAGTGGTAACAACCAGTAGTTTCCTTAATGGATGCCCTGCCCACTGTCCCCATCTTTTTATGTCATCATAGATGTACTACTAATGAACTTAACTCTAACTGACGTCAGTGACTGAGGGAATGACTTGTTACCAACAGGGAATAATAGTTTCGTTGACTTAGAATATTCAGATGATATAGTTCTGCCTCCTAGGTGAAGATGCTGACAAAATTGAGCAGAGTCTTCAAATGTTTGGCATGCGATTCGTTCCCTTCGTCAAATGTAAAATGATGCTACAAGACTCGACTGAACTACAACGACTCACTCGTAGCTGAGAGATAGACAAGAATGAAGTGGTAGAGCGTGTTGGTCAGTTCATTTATTTGGGAAGTTGCATCAGTCAACGCCGGCGGGTTGATCTCTGACGAAATCACAGCACGGATACAGAAGGTTCGTTTGGCATACCCCAACTTACGCCACCTCTGGATTAGTAGACGTGATATCTGGTTGGCTGACCAAAGGGCGTGTGTACTGCTCAGTAGTTCGCTCACTCCTCCTGCTTTATGTCTGTGAGACATGATGGTAGTTGAAAGTGGAAGATACGAAAACCCTGGTTAGCTGTTTTTGATGATAGTTGTCTGCGTTCAATCTTCGGTGTTAATTGGTATAATGAGTTGAGCAATATTGCGGTTAGGCATCGGTCGAGTGATGGATAGGAGGGAGGGGAAGTCAGTCTACGAGGTTGTTAAGTTACATCGATGAAGATGGTCAGAACATGTGTTACACATTCATGCCTAGTCATCGCCTTCCTCAATGACGGTCAATATAGCTGACATAGATGAATCAGGTTGGGAAAGAGCTAGTGGTTGATGGTCAAACCAAAACTTCAGTCAGTGCAATCCACAACAGTCAGTTTAAGCCAACCAGCGAGCCAGCCACATAAGGAGTTGTGGACTGGGTGGCTGGTTAGGGCCCTCGGAATGGTAAAAAGTAATGACAGCTGGAGACGATTATTGGTGATATGGCTCAAAATCGTTTTCAATGGCTGGCACAAATGCATTCAATCTTTGTGATTTATAATATCCAATCAAACTCTATTGTTCTTCCATATTACTAATTCCTCTTTTCCCCTCACACTTCTGTTTTTGAGATGTCTTTTGCACCTGCCTTAGCTCTGTTCTCTTGCTTTGTGTGTGGTACATGGAGTGTGGTGACCCGAACTGCTACACATCTGTGCAAAGTCCTACGTTGAAACCAATCAGTCAGTTAGTAAGTTTGGATGAAATTGAGAAAAACACTCGTACTAATTCAATATGCAACACAAATTTTTATGTTGTTAGGGGTGAAAGTTGTCCAGTTCGATATGTACAGTAACTATTATATACTTATTATTATTATTGTTAGTATACATACTTGGTGTATTATAGGTACTAAGAGATGCACCACGCAAAATCTTATAGATTGCGCGAGGGTTGAGATGTCGGGACCGAAGCGAGATGGTTGTTTGAAGGGCCACCCCCACTGAGCCTCTGACTTGAAGTTTGATCCACTAGAGAGATAGGGGAACAGCATCACGAGCAACGTTCTCGTGGATTCCGGTGACAAAAACAGGTCCATATGCCATTTGATGTAATCGGATTCTGGAGCCCATGTACACCACCATAGGCTTGGAATCAGGATTTTCCAATTCCCCTGGACAGACCAGCATGTCCACTAGTCGTGTTGTTTTGTGCGCCAGACATTCCTATTCGCTGTTTCACTGTTGTTAGGAATACACCCAGCCGTATAAAAGCAGCGAATATGATTAACTTGGCAGAGCCTATGAACACGTGGTTGCATGAGAGTATTTCGAGAGGAAAATTGGAGTCTCCCCACCCTCGACTCTACCAGGTTGTATACATGGGGTGGGGTTGCATTGTATGCTTTCAGTTTACACCATATCTTGTTTTAACAATCATACTCGATAACCATCCAGATGGACGTTGAGCTGGTTTTGTGTGTACGGCACTGAAAGGGTCGTTATACTGCTACTTTCGTGGTCTTCATTCGGTGTCGTTATTGTGTTGAGTTCGATCTAGCAGTAGTTAAATTGGCCAATATAGTCATAAAGGAAAGTAAACGTTTATCAAGAGTAACTATGCGTTCTGAGTAGAACGTGGGGCTTCAAGGTGTGTGTAAGCTTTAAAATTCTGTAGCGCTTTGTTTTACGGGGTAGGTTACTAACCTTACGCCCGCCCAACCTTTCTTCTTTTCCAGGCCTCCTACCGGTTAGGCGATATTTTGAAGTGTGTCGGCTGGTGGATTCGAACACGGCGCATGTGTTTGGCTCGGTGGACATTTTCCCCTGAGCCACCGACTCCACTGTGTAATGATGTTTCTTTTTTTATTATTGATGAGTGATTGGTAACCATTAAATCGCTTTCTTTGCCTTCCCCAGAAACGATTTCAAACCGGGTACTGTTGAAGATGCTTTGGCTATTCTACAATCATCACTTGTAACTTCAATTCAGTCCCGTCAGTCCAACATGTTCGGGGGTGGTAGTGTTGGTGGTACATCTCAAACTTCCATGTCAACTAAGCACTCAACATCTCCAGCTTCAGTACGTGTACCTAATTCACATGTGACAAATATGATCAATCCCCCCACGCCTCAGAAAAATTCCTCACGTCCTAAACAGGCTAAAAAGAAACTTCCTCCTCCTTCAAAGCATATTGCACGAATCGGTGCTCAAGCTGAAGCGAAGAGAAAACAGAATGTGAATTCCAAAGCCAACTACACTAATCCTGAAGTCAGTAACAAAGAACTTGAAACTGCTCGATGTAGACGTGAAGAAATGGAAGCTTTTCTCATTGGAGATTCTGACACAAATAAAAAATGTAAATAGCGGGAGAGAGAGAGGTTAGTTTTCAGTTAATAAATACAATTGTGTAGTTAATAAATTATGGAGAGGATATCTGTGTAGCTCAAGTGTGCATAACTTTGTTGTGTAGTTGTGCTTTCTCTTAGCTGTGTGGTTGGTTGGTTGGTCGGTTGACGGTTGAATAACGAGGATTTCATTGTCTTTCTGGTCAACTTTATCAATGCTGACACCAAGGTAAAATTCGCCTTATCGCTGTATAGGGATTACACAAATAATTCACTTTGTCAGCGGAGGGGGGTGAGTGAGGTCGTTTGAAGTCAGTTATCGGGAGCTGGTCTTTTGTGTACTAGAATATGAGTCAGAATTATTGTTCAAAGGGTGTTGATACTGCCCATTTGTTGATACTGAATGGAGTAGATGGAACGGGTTTTGAACCCAGGACCCACTGACTGAAAACTGTTGAGTGCTGAGAAGAAGATTTCATTCATTATCTGTGCGTTGGTGGCACAGCAGTTAAGACGCTCGCCGACTATGCACACGGCCCGGGTTTCGATCTCCGACCGACTCACACCTGATATCAATGGTCGTCGGTCTGCTGAATGTGGGCTACGGATATCACATGCCGAAAATTTTATACTTATACAAATTACTGTATGGGATCAAGCTATAATCAAATATGAGAATTTAAAAATATAAATATGTATTAAAACTTATTATATGACAGAACCATTTCAATAAAACAGAATAGTTTTCGCAACATCATCAAGAAAAAAACAACAAATTTTCTGTTTCCGTTTGCACTACTGTTCTTCAGATAATGTTCCAGGTGGAGTTGGGTAATTTGAATGGACTAATGTGTAATGTAACTAATATCATGCGCCTAGTCCCTTCTTTGGCGCCGACTGAGTTCTGTCAGTCAAGTTTGTGCAGGTGGTCCTCCATCATGTGATGCCCTCTAAATTGTGTTGTTAGTAGATGGTTGGAGGAGGACCTGGATTTCGTGCTTCCTAAACTAAACCTCGTCACAATGAGACGTATCTGTAGTTTTGAAGGAGCTTAATCCCCCCCTTCTGAAATTTGAACTGGAGTCAACTAGTACAGAAAGGAGATGAGTTCCTTCAAGGCATCAGGAAATATCGATTCACCTATCCATCCCCCGTCTATAAGGTTGTACAAATGCCATCTGAATGTATTATTTTTAAAATCGAATTTCCTCACCTTTTCAAGTGTGTTCATCTATACCTCGTGTCTATTTGTAATTTTTAATGCATGCACATTGCAAACATGCATATTTTGCGAAACAATCACGGCCGAAATCCGGGGATGTCCCCGAGAACCTTCTTCCGTCAACCTTCCGATGTCTCTCAGTGGTAGTTTTTGTTATCATACTTTACACCCCTTCGTTTTCATCATTGAGTTGAAAATAGTTGTAGTGTGTCTAATATCATCATCAGCATCTAAAGTTAACTGATCGTTCTAACTGGGTGATGTTAGGCGTTCACCATTTTCAACAAACAGACTAAAAGGCGTCGACGTAGAACCTTAGAGAATGGTGACTGTATGTTGACCTAAATTGCTGTGGGTCAGTCGTTCAGAGATAGAGTGCTAGTCGACCACGCCATGTGGTCCGGCGCGCGAGTCCTGACTGGCACACACCTCTACCTTCTTTAGACGGTTATAATCCCAATAAAGAGGGGGGGGCGGTAGCCCTATGTTCCACTGAGGACTCAAAAGAATAAAGGGATCTAATTTGCTACATTCCATGTCTGCACATCGATTGTAAGGTAAAATATTGAGAGACAAAAGAATGGAAATAATGTAGCCTCTATTCGTAGAGTAGTATGAGACCAACCTGTCTGTCTGTCTGTTTTTGACATAGAACTTTGCACAAATGTGCGGCACTTCAAGTCGCCACACTCCGTGTAGCACGCGAAGCAAGAGAAGAAAGTACAAGAAAAGCATAATAGAAACAGTGAGCAGAGGTGTGAGACAAAGGAGTAATAACGAAGGACAAAACAGATTCATTAGAGATCATAAGTCACAGGGAGTAGATGCATCTGCGCCACTGAGAACGATTTTGAGCCATGTCACCAATTGTTTCCAACCATAGATTTTTACCGTCCCGAAGACCCCAGCCTGGAAGTCTACACCTTCCTACGTGGCTTAGACCAACTGTTGTGGATTTCATTGACTGGTGGGGCCAAGTTTTTGTTTGACCGCCGCTAGCTTTTTTCCAGCCTGACCCTATATCCGCTAACATAGCTCGTCGAGGGAGGCGATGGCTTGGCATACGTAACACATGTCATAACCATCTCAGTCTTCGTAATTTCATGACTTCGTCGATCGATTTCCCCTCTTTACCTAGAACTCGACGCCTAACTTCAATGTTGCTCACCTTATTATGCCACTTTACACGGGAGAGAGAACGCAGGCACCTATAATCAAAGACAGCTAGTCTTTTCATGTCTTCCACTCTCAGTGGCCAGGTCTCACAGCCATAAAGAAGGACGGAGCGGACTGATGAGCAGTACACCCGCCCTTTGGTCGATAGTCGAACATCTCGTCTACGCCAGAGCCGGCGTAAACTAACAAATGCGAAACGAGCCCCTTGTATTCGTGCTGAGATTTCGTCAGAGATCAGCCCGTTGGGGCTGATGGTACTTCCTAAATAAGTGAAGCGGTCAACGTGCTCTACCACTTCACTTCCTATTTTTAAACTAGGCGTCGATGTAGTCCAGTCCTGTAACATCATCTTGCATTTGGCGGGAGCGAATCGCATGCCAAACATACGAAGATTGTTGCTCAAGGTGTTCAGAAGATTGTGCATTTTGTCAGCGTCCTCCCCTAAAAGGACTATGTCGTCTGCATATTCCAAGTTAACGAGATTATTCCCTGGTAGCAAGTCAATCCCTGAGTCGCTGAAGTCACTTAGGGTTAAGTCCATTAACACATCTATGATGAAGTTGAATAGATAAGGGGATAATGGGCATCCTTGACGGACACCGCTAGTCGTCACCAGTTCGGATGACAGTTCGCCGTAAGCCCTCACCTGGCTGTATGAATACGAGTAGAGTGCCTTAATCAGTGCAATATATTTTCTCGGAATTCCCTTTACAGCCAATCATCTCCAGAGAACTTCTCGATCGACAGAGTCGAATGCTGCCTTTAGGTCAAGAAATATAATGACTGTTGGACGCCGGTAGGAGTGCCTGTGTTCTAGAATCTGTCGGAGTGGGAAGATATGATCAATACACCCTCTTCCTGGTCTAAAGCCTACCTGGCTCACTCGTGTTTGTGCCTCCCGAGTACCACTTAGGCTACGCATGATTATTGAGCCTAGGACTTTAGATACTATATTACTCAAGCTAATCCAATCCCTCTGTGATTATCACAGGAAGACTTGTCTCCCTTCTTGTATATCGGGATAATCAATGACTTACACCAACCCGATGGGACTTCTTCTGATTCCCAGACGCTGCCTAGTACCTCAGTTAATCCGGACAGTAAACTGTCTCCACCGTACTTAAATACCTCTGGAGTCATTCCATCAGGTCCCGCTGCTTTGCCTAGTTTCAGATTGGTGACAGCTTTAGTAACCTCAGTTAGTGACGGAGGACCTGTGTCTATATCCCATTCAGGGAGGTGTTGGATGTTCGGAAGGTTGAGCGTGGCTGTGGGCCAATTAAACTGCTCCTCATAATGCTCTTTCCAGCGATCCAGTCGTCTACCCTGGGAGCTAATTATAGTGCCATTTCTTTCCGAGATTGTTTCACTAACCAACCAAATGCAGTTAGGCTGATCACACGCCCAACCTTCTCCATTTTTTCAGGCTTAGAACCCTGACTACTAAACTAGTGATGTAAAATAGTGAAATCAGCCTGGTTCATATCTTAAGTTGACAATATAGGAGAGGAGGCCCAGGCAAACCCTAATGGAAAACGACGAGTTGGACATTGCAGCAGAATGATTTGGGTGAAATTGTGCGAGGAGGGGATGAAAGCTTATCCGCGATTGCATTTATTATTCCCTTGGGTTCCGAATGGAACATTGTTATGTACTCGTCGCTAAATTATTGTTATGTACTGGTCGAGAATTTAATAGTCCTGACGCAAGAAGGCGGAAATCACAAGACCACTAGGTTTGCGATGATACTTCTATTTTCCAAACACAAGGAGAATGCAAAAGTGGTATCACACCAAAGTGGTAGTAAGTAAGTCACAAGATTGTGAGAACGAAATATATATATAGAATGTCTAGACAAAGGTGTGAACAAATCACTAGACAGTCTTAACATGAATGGCTAATTATAATGGAGTATCGATCCATATATACGTAGTGAAATATAGCAGACATGTCAACAACCACCATATATGGATATATGTCACCAAGCAACGGACTGTCAACAAACACTCATATTATATATAATATAAGGGGAATATACATTGTTAAAGGAGACAGGTTCATACAAGTGAAATGGTCACAGACTAAGCGAGCAAACAGAAAGATAGACCAACATACACACACACACACATAAATATATATATATGTGGATACATATCAAACATAAGGCTCCAACAACACGTCTTTACTTCGTTCTTTTTGGTGCTGTTCTCTTTAGCCCATAATCTCTCTCATCTCCTCTTCGCATTATCTCCTCCATGTCACCCTAACACTGATGACCCACTCGTCGCTTCACATATGTGTCGAACAGGATCCGAATGTTGTTCGTCATGCTGACGGAGTGCAGAAGATTTGCAAACCTCTTTCAAGTTCATGGAGGTGTATCTTATCTTTCCGATCCCGACTGGCTGGCTTTGACATCTTCATCCATTTCAACTGTATATGGTTGAAACGATGCTTCCTAGATAAGTGAAGCCAGGAAGTAACCACTGTGAAATCTCTCCCGTTGATGGTGATTGGTGATGGTTGTTGTTGGTTGGTTGGTTATCTTTATCAACTCTGTCTTCCCTATGTTCACCTGGAGTCGTGTCTTCACTGCCAGCTCTGCCTCTTCTGCCAGTTTGTTGGTTTTCGCCTATTAGTTTTCAAGTTTGTTTGACTGTAAACATAAATCTTCCACACGCGAAATCCAGATCGTCTAGAGTCCGCTCATCGGTGGTCCAACGTATTCCTGTCTTCTCACTCCCTGTGCACAGTCTGATGCATAATCCTCCAGTCCACCACAGTTAAGAATAGCATCGATGATAATAGACAGCCCTGTCTTACTCCTGTATTGACTACGAAGGCCTCGTTGATATTTCCATTGTGGATCATCTAACACATGGGATTGTCGTATAGCCAACTGCTAAATGAGGTTGATAAAGACTTGGTCACTGCGCGGTGTAGTGTTGAAATAGTTTTCAAATTACCACTCGATCAACTCTGTCTAAGGCTTTTTGAAATTGGTCGATGAACTTAAGTTAGGAGTTTACCTTCCATTCTCTGCTTTGTTTGATGACGATGTGTAGAGTTGGGAAATTGTGAACACAGCTAAATAGAACTTTAAATAGCATTCTGATGGTGAAATGGGGATGTACCGGTGAAGTCCTTTGTTCCACTGCAAACCCGAAGGAATATTTATGTATCTATATATTATGACAGTGAGTGTTCATGATAATTGTTTAACTGTGAGGCTCTGTTGGTGTTGCCTTCTCTCAGCCAGAAAATTTGATTTCGAACCTTTGGTTGTCTACCTAGGCAACATCTTTAGTGCCAACACAATCATTGAAAACATCCATCTGAGCATCTACTTCACGGATCTTCTCCACTTAGTTATAATTAACACAAGCGCATGAAAGATGTAATGCATTTAATCTTTTTTTCAAAAGAAAGAAAGTTTAGAATATTTTTGTCGTTTTGTGCATTATACTACTTATAAAATCAGGATTGTGTCTTAACACACTCACAACTTCATCGATTTTCTTATGACTCCATTTTTCTTCTTTTTTCTCTGTTTTTTGCATTTTGTAGCTTTTCCATGAAATCTCTTACCTCTGTATGGTATAGTACAGTATAGTATAGTATGGTGTGGTTGGTGGGAACTTCAATATCACTGAAGAGTATTCCTTCTTACCAGAGGTGGTGGTAGTAAGAATCATCTTGACAGTACGAATTATATGATTGTTACTTATTCTCAAGTCTGTACTACTACTACTACTGTGGTGAGTGCTGGTTTGACTGCTAGTCAAAGTTGGTAGACAGTAATTTACGTCTATGGGGCATAAACATTGGCGTAAATTACTGTCTACCAACTTTGGCTAACAGTCAGCTCTCAGCACACTACTACCATTACTACTATTATTATTATTATTCTTGAGAAATAATATTTGTTTTTTTATCTTGATTTATTTCCTTGTTTTCGATTTATTATTTTCTCTTTTGTTGAGTTTTAATATCCCCTGATGGAATATGTTTTGGTTTCGAACTAATATTTTTCGTCGTTTTGTGTTTGTGTGTGTGTGCGCACTATTCAAACAGTCAATATAACTGCAAAAGACAAAATCGTTTTCACGCTCATTTTGACTTGTGTGTGTATATATATTTCCATGTAGAATTGTGTAATTCACTCTGTACTCCTAATTGTCAGTGTTTTTCTGATTCTATGGCAACAGTGTCTAATTCTTCCCGTCCCGCCCCACCGCCCTCATTATTCAACTTTCATTGTGTGTATGCTCCCTGTTTGTTGGTTGCCTCAGTTTATGGTCTGATGTGATGTGTTGTACCACTTCAACGAGGATATATCTAATCTGGAATGTTTTGTTATTTTACTGAAACAGTCTTAAAACAAATCTGAACCAAATAGCATCATCATCGCCAACACAATACAATGAGAAGTAGGGAGGAGGATGACACGAGCAGGAGTAGGAGGATGAGGAATGAACGTGTTTTAAACAGAAGGGAAATGAAGTGCTCCGACTTCTCCTCCTCATAGAAGAGGAGGAGGTGTAAATTCTTCTTCGTCTTCTCTGTATTCTCTGTTTGTTTAATATTTGAAAACAAAATAGATTTCTTCTTTTGATTTATTCATTTTTCTTATCTGTTTATCTATTGGTCAATATTTCCAAAGTTCGTGATTAAATCAGTCGTATTCACTGTTCAACCCAGTATACCTTTTTTAAAAATGTTACTCTTGTACATATTATACATGTATAGATATATCGATATATATATGAGTACGTCTCAGTTCTGTTTGTGTTTCCGTTGAGTTGAATATGATGTAGTTGGACATCATTAGTAGAGAATCAATGAAAAGGAGAGCATTATTTGATATCTTTTTCCACCTGTACAGAATTCATTTGCTATTTTATTGGAATCTGTTGAGGTAAGGAGGAACTGTAATCCATTGATGTTGGGTGCTTGACGTTGGACTACTAGATCATGGGTCCAGAAAACTCCGATTCCCCCTGTTTATGTCATCTCTAGTGGGTTATCTATCGATTATTTATCAAAGGGCGTGTGTGTGTACACTGTGTAGAAGTTCTTCGCTATGTCCCCGTTTTTATGGCTGTGTAAGATTGAGAGTGGTAGATCTGGAAAGGCTAACTTGTCTTTGAGTACAGATGTGTTTGCCTTCTATCTCACCTGTGTCAAGTGGTATTATGTGGTGAGTGTAATGATCAGATTATGCTTAGGGTGTTAGGTCTGTGGAAATTGTGAAGCTACATCGATTGTGAATGAGATGGCTAGGATATGCTGCTTAGTGTACGTCAAGAGTTGCCTTCTTCTTCTTCTTAGAGCAATGTTAGCTTGTAATGGCAAAAGACAAGGATCAAGCAAGCGATCGTTTTTATTGAAAAAGAAAAAAACCAAGAGGTATTTACAAATTTTTATGTACATTATTGTTAGCGGAGAAGCAACCTCTTCTGATTGATTGGTTGTTTTCTTCCTGAAGGTGGCTATTCCGTTATGTCTTTGTGGGCGTTTCTTCAGAAAATCAAGCCATATGTATCTGTGAATCATATTTCCACACGTGCACTCCGCTGTGATTGATTGATTGGCTGGTGGTGATCTTCTCAAGGTTAAGCTTTGTTATTGTATTTTCTGCATGACCGTGATTCGGGAGGTGAACGTTGATGTCAATTGTTGTCTACAATTTTGGCTTGTTCGCCACAGCCAGCTGTCAGCACAAGCTTAGATAGGACTAGTCTGGGAAAGAGTTAGAGGTAGTCAGACTAAAGGATGGAATTAATCCATGAAATCATTGACAGTTGGTCTGAGCCACGTAGGCAGGTCTAAACTGTCTGGTTTTGGCCCCTCAATATGCTAAAAATCAATGGCTGGAGACTATTAGTGATTTTGCTTAAAATTCTTCTCGATGGCGCACATACATTAACAAACACTCTGTGATATCTCAGATCCTTTAAACCGTCGTTTTTTCCAAGTTACTGGTTTTCTGCCATACATTTATCGAAGAATATCCTTTTCGATAATTTCCTTCTGCCTCTACAATTATATACATATGTTTGTTTTGTATACATAGAATATTCTAGAATAATAGTCACTAGCAATATTGGTGTGTTTCCTTTTAAATAATATCGATTTGTTAAGTAAGATCACTACGGAATTACAGTTCACTAAAGATGCATAAATTGTAATAAGCATAAAAGTGTAACAGTAAATAGAATATCAAATAAAATTAAGGAAATTTCTACAACTTCTTCTTGTGGATACATACATAAGTTAGGTTTCTTAGTGTGGATCAAAACAGCCTCAGCAATATGTAATAGACGAACTCTTAAAGTAAAGTCGGGATTAGTTGGTATGTGGTCGTAGATGACTTTGAAAGTCGCCTTGTTAACATCAGTCTTGTGTTCCTAGAAGTTAATTGGTGGATGGTGACTAGCAGTGGAATCCACCAGGATAAAGCGCATTTCGTCCTACTGGGGACTAGTCAGCCAGTTGATGTACCTGCATTCCTCAGTAAGTGAATGATGATGTTCCCACCGAGGCTCGAATCCAGTGCCCATAGTTTCAAACACCAAAGCGTTGTCCACTAGATCACTTGGGCCACAAGAGAGCCACATCTTGTGCAGCGGATCATATTAATTATTGAATTCAATTTAGATAGGACTAAATGCGCGCATCCTGGCTTGATTCCACTGTTAGTCACCATCTACCAATTAACTTCTAATTACATGCCCAGACATCGTCGAAGCATCTACACAAGAAGCCGATATGTCAGTCTGAGATCGAGCACTTCGGTTCAATCAATCAATCGACAGGAAATTCTAAAATTGTGTTCTGTATCTACGAGATGAGATAGAATAGAGGTATGAATGGATTTTATTTAACCCTTTCTTCTCAAGCACTTTGCAGGATGATATTCTGAGATCTGAATGAATATTTTTGCTATATTGACTATTAGTATGAATGGAAGTTATTCATTACTATTTGTAAACTATACACAATATGTATATACATCACTTGTATAGATTTAAGTTTATAACTTGTGCTTATACCTCAAAATAAATAACCGTATTAGAATATGTAGTAAGTAGTGTGGCGAGTGCTACTGACAGGATTTATCAGTAGTATGTAAAGAGTCGTTCATCGGTCGGCATAAAAAAAAACATGAAATAGCAGGGAGATGGAGTTTATGTCAGCGAAAGCAAGTGCTACAAAGTTGTGGAGAGATATATGGGAGACGATGTGAAAGGAACACAAAGAAAGGCAATATGAAAGAAGGAGCACACCACGGAAGATCTGTGCCAATGATGTATTGAAGATAGATGGATAGATAGATAAAGCGTACATTATATTTGGCTATATAGAGATGCTAATTTTGCAAATAAAGATTCTTTTACCAAGTCTCTTTCGTCTTCTGCAATTTCCGCGTACTACTAGAATTCACAAATCAAGGTGCCTGCCTCATTTAGGTGAGTAGTAGTAGCTGACTGACTTGAGGAACATCCCCGACAAACTTATCCCCGAGTTGTCTAAATGTATTTAGCATCAATATTGTGTGTGTGTGTGTCACACTGTGAGCAGCCGTCAGATTCTAGTCGAACTAATTCAGACGTGATAAGAAAGAAAGTTTTGGTGAAATTCGGTAACGAAGAAAAGATTGAGAAAAATGTTTAGTTTCGATATAATAAGTTTTTATACACCCATTTTGCAATCAGGGCAAACCAGGAGACCCAAAATAAGTTGCATGTATGAACTGCAATAGAGACATTACATAGGTCAACAAAGTGGGCGTCGGTCCCTTCGTGTCCGAATCGACTAACCCATATCAGCTGTGAAAAGACATAAAATGCATTCCTGTTTCATATCGCGATGCATGTGTATAATTACGGACACCAATTCGATGATTGTTGGGATAATGTAGAAATTTTAAAATAAAGGAAACGCCAGACAGTAATTCCGGGGAATTTCTAGAAGCCTGGTTGGTAGTCAAGTGAATCAATCATCGATTAACAAACAAACACACACCCATTACCTCGATAGACCAAATTTATCAACTAATAAAAAGCAAACTCATCATCATATGTGACAAGAAAGTTCAAATTCCGCGTCAGTCAGTCAGTCAATAAAAATGATCAATGCAGACGTAAATTAACGATCAGTCAGTCAGGACAGTGGCTGCCAGTAGGGAGATACAATTATATCATCACTCAGGGAGAATTCAAAACAGTTCATTCCAGACTGACAACACCTGACTGGAAGATGTTGTCTAGAAGCGGGACGATGAGAGCTTTCCAATTAAATCAACTAGAAGCTCTGAGGACACAAACAACTAATTCGATATCATCCACCAACCTGAGCTACAAATCTTCTCCATTATTTCAACCTTTTTTCATTGTGTGACAGTGAAGAGAATTCCAACTCTCACTAGTAAACAATATTCCTATTCTCTTGAAATCAAAGTGTCGACTGCGAATTTAGGTCTTCAGTGTTAGAAACATATGCGTTAAGTCTTAAATTTTGCGCCTCACTGATCGAAAGTTTGTTATTCTATTTAATTTATGAATCCAAATCGTATTTCTTAAACAGCCATACAGAAACCAGCTGTGGTTCTTTGCGTTAACTAACGGTTAAGAATAGAATAAACTTGTAAGTTGGACAGTACAGATGTCAGAATAGGGGTAGTGCGAGTGAAACATGAAGTATTATGTTGAATATATAAAGAAAGATACAAATGGACACTGTGGCGGTAGACTATATAATTCCGTTATGGATAGAATTTATTTTGATAAAGTCACACACACACACACAATGATGTTATACGGTAATGTTTACTGATAATAACCACGTTTTGAGCACAACTAATTTATTACTGCAGCTCATAATCATATCAAGGTACTCACTCACACAGCCTTCTTGCTTCACTTATATACATGAGTGGAGATATATGGATGACACTTTCACAGTGTTAAAAGCAGAACACATCTCTCTCTAGTTTCTTCACGCTCACACACAACTAATAATGATAACATTAGTAATAAAGATTATAAGGCATCTACAACAGTTTTACCATATAAGGAGAGGACATTTGAGAGCCTATGTGGGATTCTTAATAAAGCAGGAGTCAGGGTGGTATTCAAACCCGCCTACAAACTCACTCATGTGGGACAGACAAGCTGTGTAGGCTAAAGGACCCTGTTGACCCAGTTAGACAAAGTATAATTTAAAAATGCCTTTCAGTGACTGTGAGTGAGGTCAACTACAAAGGTTAAACTAGTAGGTGATCAGGAGTAGTCAGATTGTTGGAACATGAGAATTTAGCTGAGGTTATAATGACTGACCCCATGAAGATAAGTAATTTAGCAAAAAGCACTCAGCAGTCGCACTGCATGCATTAATACACAACCACAATAAGATGGGGTGGATGGGACAGAGTCAAAATTCTGAAAAGTAATATTGGTAGGTTGAGACAGGGACAGAGATTGGTTACTGGATCCTGCCTGGTTCATTGAATAATCTACACCCAACACATGCGCTATAGAGTGACTCAATTCAAATATCAAAGATATGTATGGAAGATATTATTACTACTAGTCAAATCAGAGGAGGATAATAAATAATAGTGTTAAAATGTATTCAGTTTAATTTACATTATAACAAGTTACTTATTTTGTCTATAAAAACACTCGTCTTATTTCCCATCTGATTGTATTTTATTGATAACACTAATATTATTATTTCTGAATGTACTTCATCTTACATTGACTGATTTTATTCAAATGTCTAATCATCAATTTTTACTCATGTATATGAATGAAGCAAGAAAGT